TCTTAGGTCCAGACAAGTGCACTGTGGGTGCTGTGAGAGAATATCAGGCCACACTATTTTTTATAGTTAGGAAACTTGATATAGATGGGAACAAAATTGGAAAGCACTGTTTGAATAATATGCTCACTCACTGAGATCAGAAAAAAAAAAGTCTCCTTGGCTCAAGAAAAGTACTCTGCCCATGACATGTGGCCAAACTTTTTTTTTTTTTGTCATTTCAGGGTTGGTTGATACTCAGTGTTTTGGCAGGGGGTTTCTTTCTTGTAGCGGGAGCGGGAATGCCTAGACCCTGCTCACATGGCTCTATATAGAGATCTTCTGTTTAAGAACTGCAGCAGTCTGGGTTCTGAGGGTGAGAACAGTTTTCTTGCAGTCTCCCTTGCTCCTCCTCAGGGTTCCTGGGAAAACTCCTCTGCATGTGTGTGAGCTCTGTGTGTGAATGGCTCTCAGCATCTCACAGAGCAAAGTGAAATCCTCGGAGAAAGAGAGACATTCTTCCTGATGTTTTCTCTCTCCTTTGTGTTTATCCTTTTGGCAGGTGTTATGCATCATTCATTTTTGTTCCATGAAAAGTTCCTGGTGTTTTAGTAAGAATCTCTTTCTCCTATGCAGTCAGTCAGTCTTACATTGCTCAGTCAGTCATGCTCACCTGTGAAGCAGAGCAGAGAGCCCCGGATGGAGAAGAGAGAGGAGACAGTAGCAAAGGACCCAGGTATGTTAGAGGGACTGAGGAAGGGCTAGGGAAGTGTCTGGTGTTTTGTGTTGTTCAGGTCAGTCCAAAAAGAAGGTTACTCCAAGATGAATTATAGGCCCTTATTGAATGTACACAAACGTGGTTTTGGGAAAGATAGGTTTCTTATACCATAGTCCTGATCTAATCTATACGTTTTCTGAAGGAAAACATCACACCCCTGTATCACCAAAAGTAAAAGACCTGGAGATAGATATTAGGGTTCAAGCTTTAAGATCAGAGAAGCAAAACAGCCAAGCCAGTAGAGCTGACCTCTGCCAAGCTGAAATGGCAATCCTTAGTCCACAAGTCCTCAGAGGCAAAACTCTCAGTGCCGGCGTCCTCCTGGCTTTTATTCTTTTCTTGGCCCAGCAATATCACTCCTGTCCACCTCCATAGGGCTGGGATTAAAGGTGTGTGATCCCCGGTGCTGAGATCACCTTTGTGCAGGTTTCTCTTTACTGTATCTGTGAAGGAAAACATGGGGAAGTTGGGACTCCCTGGTGGCGGCATTTATAGTGTCAGAAACTGCTATGGTGACTGGGGCAGAGGGCGCAGTCATCAATGGCCATACCCAGGTTTGGATCCTGTGTGCTATAATCCCAACCTGCCAGGCAGAGCAAGCCCATTGTGGGATCTTGAGTTAATCGTATAACTCTTTTAACACTGATAGTTTTACACTATGTTCTCTTCCATGTACATGCCAGGGTTTTCCCGCCTCCTTGCGTCATTCTCAATTCCTTCTGGCAAATTCATGTTTTCATGTTAGAGGTCTCTTCAACTTGGTTAGTTTTTTTTTTTTTTTTTTTTTTTTAATACCTCTGTTGGTTTTCTTCCATTAAGAAACAAAAAACAAAACAAAACAACTGTTGAGGGCCAGGGAGATGACTCAGTGGTTAAGAGCATTGGCTGCTTTTCCAAAGGATCCAGGTTCAATTCCCAGCCCCCAGATGGTAGCTCATAACTGTCTGTAACTACAGTTCCAGGGGAGCTGACACCCTCTTCTGTCTTCCTGAACACCAGGCACATGGTACATGATACTCATATAGGCAATCTATCTATCTATCTATCTATCTATCTATCTATCTATCTATCTTAAAATTAATTTAAAAACTGTTCATTTTAATCAAATAAATTGAAGCAATAACAGGTAGTATAAAGCTTTTGTAATTGGTTGGTTACATAAGTGATAAAGTTCTGCCTCCAAATAGGTACTGATATCTCCTCTTGAATTCTCTTGGTTTATATTTTAAGTTTTAATTAAGAAATACTGATATTTAACCATTGCATAGGTTTAATTGCTCACCACGACCCCCTCATTACCCTCTTCTGCCATCCCTGGTTAGACATGTTTTCTTCCCTGTTGTCCTCCTCATATTTCATTTACGATTTTGGGCAGGTTGGGACCAGGTAGCCAGACTATCGTGTGTTCATAACTCCAACTGCCATGCCATATGGCAAGAGAGATTTTTACACATCCACTCCCCATCCTTCAGTTCCTCCAGTCTTTGGCTTTCTCTTCTGTGATGCTCCCTGTGATTGAGATTTGGGGATATGGAATTCCCATCAGAGCCTGCGCTGTAAGCAGTCAATTGTTCTCAGAATTCGGTGAGGTAGGTGTCTCTGAAAGAACTGTTGCTCATTGAAAACAGAGTGTCTTTGGCCCAGGCTGAAAGCAGCACCGGGCTATGGGTTTGTAAACAGAACCATTTAAAGGCAGTATAAGTATTTGTACATGTAGCAAAATGTCAGTATTTGATTCCCTCCTAGGCCCTGTGACAGTCCTCATCATTGGCTTTTAGCCAGGTTTCCATCTACGTGTTTCCGGCTGTGGAACCAGCCTCGGTTAGAACCAGAAACCTTCTCTTACCCACAGAATCATCTTGCCCTGCGGCACCAATGGGCATGCCTTGCCTGGCAGGTTGGGATTATGGCACACAGGATCCAAGTCTGGGTATAGCCATTGATAACTCCGCCTCCCTGCCCCAGCCTGCATAGCAATTTCTGACACTATGAATGCTACTACCAGAGAGTCTAAGATATTTAGCAGCGAATGGTCTGCTGACTTCTCAGCATCTTGTTGGTATGTACAAAAACCAAGAGGTGTTGTATATAGATTATGTAGCTTAGTAAAAGGGCTGTCAGACCCGAGCTTTCTCATGAGTGTTTATGGCCTTCGGATCACAGAGTTCTGTTTTTTTTCTGTAGGAGGTCCATTTGCTTTTTGACTCTCCCTTTAAATTTTTCTGTGTTTCTTAAACTGTGTATCCAGTGATGCATGGTGTTGAGTTAGTTTGAAGAGAGGGGACACTCTTCTCTTTCCTGATTACAGTGGAACGACTCCATTGTCCTTCTTTGGTAGTGTTAGGTGTCGGTTTGTCTCACTGTCTTTATTATGTTGAGGTATGCTCCTTCTGTTCTGAGATGCGCGAGAGCTTTCATACTGAGCAAATGTGATATTTTGCTTCGGGTCTTTCATGGATCTGTTTACGAGGTCATGTGTGTCCTCTCACAGAGTCTACAAATGTGGTGTGTTACATTGATTAGTTTGCAGGTGTTCAAACAGTCTTGTATCCTTGGCATTAAGTCAGCTTGCATTCTGTTTCCCTGTAATTTAGAGCCAGTCTCTGTGTCTATGGCAATCCTGGCATCTGGTTGTGATTTTTTCTTTTTTCTGTTTGCATGTATTTGTTTGGGCTCATTGCTTTGTGTGTCAAGTTAAAGCCAGCTTTGTATGGTCACTTCCGGAGTTCCTTTTCTGTGTGTTTTGTGCAATTTTCTTCTTTTGGCATTAATACGAGGTTTGAATAAAGGAAAAGAGAGTTCCCTGCTGAATCTGTCCAGTCCTGAGACACTGTTAGAGGAACCTCTGACTGCTTCAGTCTCAGCACTGCTTAATGCCTTTTCTAGGTTTATGACGCAAAAATGTTAAATTTGTTCAGTTGTTTCTAGGTACTTACCCTCTTCTTCTTGAATTCTGATTTATTTACCTATGACTTTCTCCACCACTCCATGGCATACACTGCAATACCCCATTTCAACTCTAATCCTAGGACTTGGGGCTTCACTCTTTTAGTTTGGATAAGGGGGACATTGCTTGGTCAGTAGTTTTGCCTCTTCGCAGAAGCAAGTCTATCCTATCCCATTGACTCAGTGTATTAAGTCTCTAGTTCATTGATTTCTACACAACCTTTTTTTTTGGTTTTTCCAGACAGGGTTACTCTGTGGCTTTGGAGGCTGTCCTGGAACTAGCTCTTGTAGACCAGGCTGGTCTCGAACTCACAGAGATCCGCCTGCCTCTGCCTCCCGAGTGCTGGGATTAAAGGCGTGCGCCACCAACGCCCGACTTTTCTCGATACTTCTGAGGTGCCTTTTTCACTCACTTCAGTGTGACCGTCTTTTATGACCGCGTACTCACCTGGTCACTGTAAGAAATCGTCCTCGGTGCTCCAGGAATTTTGTACCCCCTTTCCCTTGATTTAAGTCTCCACGTTAGCTAATCAAGAAATAGTAAACAAGGGACTGCAGAGGTGGCTCAGCAGTTAAGAACCTTGTTGCTGCCAAGCAGGGGTCTCTAAAGATGCCATTGTTCCAGGCCCAGCCCCGGGGACCTTCTGTCATGGGCTGGGCCACAGTGCTTCACAGCTGCATGGCACAGAGCCTGTTGTACCAAGGAAACTGTGACCACTTTGGTGGATGGAATCTAACAGCGTAGGTCTGGGAGGAAGCCCAACATGTAGGTCTCTGATAACAGACATTTGCTGTGCTCTTCTGGAGTGGCAATGGAGTTTGAAATGGAGTATTTCTTAGCACTTCTGATGGGCCTTCAACCAAGGGGCAGCTCCTGCTGCTTACTGACCTGGTGCCCTGGGCCTCATGGCTCTGTCGCCGGAGGACATCAAGGGGCAGCTCTGGGCTGGGCAGTGTGCCTAGACTGTGTTGGGAAGCACAGTGTGCATGGTCTAGCATTGTTTGTGACAGGGTTGTATTAATTTTAACTTTTTTATTTCTGGCATTTGGATGTGCAATGTCAAGAAGAGTTCCAGTCTTTGTTCCTAAGACAGAAACTCAGAGAAAAGCAACAGTGACGATGGCTGCTTCTTCAGTAACTGCTCCCCAGGTAAATTTCATGTCCATAATTCTTTTTTTAATTTTAATTTTTATTTATTATGTATACAGCGTTCTGTTTGCATATTTGCCTGCACACCAGGAGAGGGCACCAGATCTCATGATAGGTGGTTGTGAGCCACCATGTGGGTGTTGGGAATTGAACTCAGGACCTGTGGAAGAGCAACCAGTGCTCTCAACCTCTGAGCCATCCCTCCAGCCCCCATAATTCTTTGAAAAAGTTTTTTTTTTTTGAAACCATGCAAGCTTTTAATTCCCTGCCTCTGGTAAACCTATCTAAAGTGTTTATTCCCTATCATTTTTTTCTTCTCTGATAATTGAGATTAAACCTTTAAATTTTGTCATCGACACAGCTCAGCTTTGTCCGACGGTATCCTCCCTTGATTATTACAGTGAGGACCTATATTTTCCATGCTCTTAAGACCTGCAGTTCTGAAAGATTCCATTGTGAATGGTGGTCAAAGAAATATATTGATGTCCATTTCCTATGGAGGATGGATTTGGGCCTTTTGGTGAGGAGTAAAGGTCTCATGGGTCATATACATTCCATTTCAGGAATGATAAGGTTTCCAGAACCTTCTTGTGAAAGTATCCCTAGAAACACATGGATCTTTTGGCCTATATCACTGAGCTCTTTATGGAAAAGTAGAACTAGAAGAGACTCAGAGTCTTGAACCGTAGTTCAGCATCCTAGAGAGTAGAGCTGACGGATGGAATTTGTGCCTTTCTCTTGCCATAAAACTGACTTTTCTGAGAGGAGATGCAGATTGCAGTGTAGTGGATTTTGTTTTAGTTTTCAGACAAGGCATAAGCAGTTCCGTCCCCACCCCTATATTATTTAAAAAAAAATTAAATTAGAAGAATTCAATGAAAATGAAGACACAACATACCCAAACTTATGGAACACTTTGAAAGCAGTACTAAGAGGAAAGTTCATAGCTCTAAGTGCTCACATGAAGAAACTAGAGAATAGTCACACTAGAGAGTTGACATCACAGCTAAAACAAAAACACAAAAACATAGGAACCAAATTCACCCCAGATGAGTAGACACCAGGAAATAATCAAACTGAGGGCAGAAATCAATAAAGTTGAAACAAAGAAAACAATTCAAAGAATCAATGTTACAAAGAGTTGGTTCTAGGAGAAAGTCAACAAGATAGACAAAACTTTATCCAATCTAACCAAAAGGTAGAAAGGACATACAAATTAACAAAATCATAAATGAAAAGGGGGACATAAAAACAGACACTGAGGAAATCCAGAGAATCTTCAGGTCATACTTTGAAAACCTGTATTCTATAAAATTGGAAAATTTAAAGGAAATGGAAAGTATTCTGGATATAAGGAAATAGAAGCAGTCATCAAAAGTCTCCTAACCAAAAAAAGCCCAGGGCCAGATGGTTTCAGTGCAGAATTCTACCAGAAATTCAAAGAAGAGCTAACACCAGTACTCCTCAAATTGTTCCACACAATAGAAACAGAAGGTTCGTTGCCAAACTCTTTTTATTTAAATTAGAAACAAGATTGTTTTACAAGTCAATACCAGTTCCCTCTCCCTCCCCTCCTCCCCTACCCCCACCCCAACTAATGCCCTACCTATCCTATACCCTTTCTGCTCCCCAGGGAGGGTGATGCCTTCCATAGGGGGGTCTTCAGAGTCTGTCATATCCTTTGGGATAGGGCCTAGGCCCTCCCCTATGTGTCTTGGCTCAGGGAGTATTCCTCTATGTGGAATGGGCTCCCAAAGTCCATTCTTATCCTAGGGATAAGTACTGATTTACTACAAGAGTCCCCATAGATTTCTGAGGTCTCCTCACTGACACCCACGTTCATGGGGTCTGGATCAGTCTCATGCTGATTTCCCAGCTATCAGTCTGGAGACCAAGATCTCCCCCTTGTTCTGGTCAGTTGTTTCTGTGGGTTTCACCAGCCTGGTCTTGACGCCTTTGCTCATCACTCCTTCTCTGCAACTGGATTCCAGTTCAGTGTTTAGCTCCCCACCTCTATATTATATTAGTAAGAATTTTCTAGATGTATTGACTTGGTGCTGTACATAAGCCATCAATTTTCAAGCATAAACAAATATTCCCCCTTTTCTTTCTTTCTTTTTTTTTTTTGAGACAAGTTTTCTCTGTGTAGCTTGGAACTTGTCCTCGCACCCGCTCTGTAGGCTAACAAATGTCCTTCTTAATGATTTGCTCTCTTCTTTGGGCAGACAAAGGCTCTCCCCGCCCATATGTTTCCTTTCCCTGTAGCTATGTATGGCATTGGTAGAGATTCTGTAAAGAGGTGACCATGGACACCTTCTTTTTTCTTACATTAAAGAAGTCTTTATTCAGCCGGGTGTTGGTGGCACATGCTTTTAATTCCAGCACTCAGGAGGCAGAGGCAGGTGGATCTCTGTGAGTTTGAGGCCAGCCTGGTCTACAGAGCGAGTGCCAGGACAACCTCCAAAGCAGTACAGACAAACCCTGTCTCGAAAAAACAAACAAACAAAAATCCCCCCACACAGAAAATAAGTCTTTATTCAGTATATGACTTACAGAACATGTTCAAATACAAAAGAATAGAGTTGAAGCCTGGCAGGGATGGTGCACGCCTTTAATCCCAGCACTTGGGAGGCAGAGGCAGGCGTATCTTGGTGAGTTCGAGGCCAGTCTGGATTACAGAGCAAGTTCCAAGACAACTAGGGCTGCATAGAGAAACCCTGCCTTGAAAAAAACCAAGAAAGTAGAGTTGAGTTTATAAGATTCAAATTTTGAGTTGAGTCAGTGCCACGAGCAAAAATATACTCAACGTTAATGAAGAGTTGGCATCATTCTCACACAACTGTGGCTCACAGAAAATCTTTCCACTTCATCAGAATGCATTGTCACACAGGACATGCATTTATACATATTTTTCTAGCTATTGTGTAGTGAACCCCCCATAGGGAATTTCTGAAATTGTAACTTATCTCTGTTGGTTTTGTTGACTTTTAGAAAAATGTAGAAAGTGTTAATAGTGTCTAATGCTGATTTTTCTATTTACTTGATCGTAGTGAAAATATTCTCATTACAATAACCTCACAAAGTACTTGAGCCTATGTGTTGTTTGGAGTGTTGAATGCCTGCACTGATATGACCCTCCTTACTGTTTAAAGAAACCACTCTTGTAATTCATCCATGAATTCTGCATTCCATATTCTACCTCTTTGCTCTAGAAAGGCTGCTGCATTGCATTTAGGCCTCAGGATCTCCACTGAACATGTTAGAATAGAGTCAGGTGAGGCCCAGCCGTGGACAGGATTGATACAGTGTCCACATTAAGCAAGGTCGACATTTGTGTAATTTGGAAGCACAGTTTTGCACATAACTTTTCCATTTATGATGAAGCAATGTGATCCTGTTTGAATTCAACATTGCCTTCATAAAGATACATTCGGCTCCTAGACCTCAAAGGTGTATCTTACATTCCTTCAGAATTTGCTGATTGTGGGTCTATTATGCCATCCTGTTTTCAAAGAGATAGAAAACATGATATTGATTTTGACTATTCTAGAATGTGTCTTTTACTAAGATTCACTTTCACTTTTATGTGTGTGTATATATTTGCCTGAATGTTTCCATGAGTAATATTTGTACTTCTGTCCCATAGAGTTCACAAGACAGCATTGAATTGAACTGGAGTTATAATCTATTATGTGGTTGCTGGGAACCAAACTTGGGTCCTCTAGAAGAGCCACCAGTGCTCTTATCTTCTGAACTATCTCTGAAACATTTTTAGAAAGCTTTTATCTTTGAATAATGTTATGCCTTATCTATATCATGAAAGTGTCTTTAATTGCTTAAGTCTCTTTTACCTGGCAAAGTATTTTGTCCCCCAGCACATGGTAAATGTGTAATTTTCCATTACAGGGTCTGTTGACATTCAGGAATGTGTCTGTGGACTTTTCCCAGGAGGAGTGGGAATGTCTAGACTCCTCTCAGAGGGCTTTGTACATGGATGTCATGTGGGAGAATTACAGCAATCTAGTTTTTGTAGGTAAGAATGCTTTTCTTGTACAATTCCTGACTCTTTCTTTGCATGTACTTACTTTGTAGGTATGTGAACTTTCTGATCTGTCTAGAGACTGCCAGGAATAATGGAAATTCAGATAATAATACTTATAACTTTACATTTTCAGTGTTCTCTGCAAGAGCAGCCAATGCTATTACACTGTAAATCTCTCCAACCCCCTTACCTATGTTTTAATCCTAAGTTCAGAGTTCAAAGAAATTGAATGTTCAAAGCAAGGAGATGCATTGTGGCTCATATAGGTGTTGGATATTAAGATTTTTACTGTTGGATTAAGATATCCCTTATAGCTGGGCATTGGTGGCGCACGCCTTTAATCCCAGCACTCAGGAGGCAGAGGGAGGTGGATCTCTGTGAGTTTGAGGCCATCCTGGTCTCCAGATTGAGTGCCAGGATAGGCTCCGAAGCTACACAGAGAAACCCTGTCTCGAAAAACCAAAAAAAAAAAAAAAAAAAAAAAAAAAATCCCCTTATTTCTGATTTCAAAAAAAATGAAGAGATTTTAAAATAGAGAAAGAGCTGTTGGTGGTGGCATGTTGTAGTCTTTGTTGTTGCTATTCTGAGATATGGTCTCTAGTCCTGGCACAGTGTGATTTTAATCCTATCACTGGGGAGGCTGAAACCAGGTGAGTTCCAGGCCAACATGTGTTATATAGTGAGTTCCCAGTCAATGAAGGCTACACAGTGTGATTCTCTGAAAAATAAAAGCAAGAAAAAAGAGAAGCATTCTACAAAGGATTAGTAAGAGAGCTCCTTCCTCAAAGTACATTTTTGCTCCATCACCTGTTTGTTCAAACTTCTGCAAAGTGTGAGGACTGGATCAGAATGAAAAGACTATTATTGGTCCTTGTGGGTTGATGGAGATGAGAGTGGAGGTTCTTCTGAGCATCCATTTAATGATAGTGAAACACAAAAGGCCTCCAGGGAAAGTTCTATTCCTCTGATTTGCTAACTTGTTTGTCTTAGAGAACTTCAGGGTGCATCACTTATTGAATCTGTTTCATCAAGCATCAATCCTTATTATCCCCAATTGTGCTCATTTTCCAGAGAACCATTGCATATGTGGTAAAAATGAGATTGTCTTGAATCAAGGCTCAAAGCACATTGTCCATGAGGATGTGAAGACCCAAGAGAAGTCTCACAGTTGTTATGAGCTTGGCAAAACAATTCATGAATCCTCCCAATGTATACCTTATAACACCAGTGGTACTACGGAAAACTGCCAGGGCTACAGAAGTGGTAACCACAGGGATGCTTCTACTGACTCATCAAACCTAAGGAGACATGGAAGTGGGAACACTGGAGAAGAACAGTACAAATACAAAGATTATGGGGAGTGTTTAAATATGTGTTCCACCATTAGCCAGTCTCCACAAATACACGCTGGAAAGGAAGAACACAAAAATGCGGAATATGATGAGCTTTTTGATTCTAAACGTGAGCTTACAATGAAACTGATCCGTAATGGAAAGAAACGGCCCCAATGCAGGAAGTGTGGAAAATGCTTCAGGACCCATTTGAGCCTCAGTAGACATCAGAGAGCTCATCCTGCAGAGAAACCCTGCAAGTTCATAGAATGTGATAAGTCCTCTTTGCTTTTGTCACACCGCAAAGTACAGAAAACCCATTATAGAGGAAAACCCTCCAAATGCACAGAATGTGGCAAGTGCTTTTATCATTCATCAGGCTTTAAAAGTTGCAGAATCCACACTGGAGAGGAGAGTTACAAATGTAAGAATTGTAGAAAATCTTTTATCTGTTGCTCGGGTCTTAGAAAACAGCAGAAACTTCGTGTAAGCCAGAGGCCTTATAAATGTAAACAGTGTAGTAAGTCCTTCTATACATTGTCACACCTTGAATACCATTACAGAAGGCACAGTGGAGAAAAACTTTACAAATGTAATGAGTGTGGCAAATCCCTTTCTACCTCCTCAAGTCTTAAAAAACATCAGAGAATTCACACAGGAGAGAAAATTTACAGATGTAGTGAATGTGGGAAATCCTTCACCTTTCGCACGTCTCTCAGACTGCATCAAAGGATTCACACCGGAGAGAAACCTTACAAGTGCAATGAATGTGGCAAGTGCTTTATCCAGAAAGTCAACCTTAGAACGCACCAGACAATCCATTCAGGAGAGAAACCATACAAATGCAAAGAGTGTGGAAAGTCCTTTACTGTTGGCTCTGGTCTGAGAAGACATCAGACAGTTCATACTGGAGAGAAACCTTACAAGTGTGGCAAATGCGGGAAGTCCTTTCCCATTGTCTCAGACCTCAGAAATCATCAGAAAATTCACACTGGAGAGAAACCTCACAAATGCAGCGAGTGTGAGAAATGCTTCATCTGGAAAGCTGATCTTCGAACTCATCAGAAAGTCCACACAGGAGAGAAACCTTACAGATGCAGTGAGTGCGGGAAATCCTTTACCACTGGCTCAGGTCTTCGGAGACATGAAAGAATTCATACGGGAGAGAGACCGTACAAATGCACCGAGTGTGACAAATACTTTGTCCAGAAAACCAACCTTAGAAGGCATCAGAGAATTCATACAGGAGAGAAACCTTACCACTGCAGTGAATGCGGGAAGTCCTTTAACACTGACTCATATCTCAGAATACATCAGAAAATCCATACTGGAGAGAGACCATACAAATGTGGTGAATGTGACAAATACTTTATCCAGAAAGCCAAGCTTCGAATACATCAGAAAATTCACACGGGAGAGAAACCTTTCAACTGCAGCGAATGTGACAAATGCTTTATCCAGAAAGGCAATCTGATAAGTCATCAGAGAATTCACACAGGAGAGAAACCTTACAAATGTAGTGGATGTGACAAGTCCTTCACCATTGGCTCAGTTCTTAGAAAACATGAGAAAACTCATACTGGAAGAAACACACTAATCCTTTATCCAGGAAGCCAGGTTTAGAACTCATCAATGAATTAATACAGGAGAGAACCGTATCAATGTAGTGTATATAGCAAAGTCTTTACTACCTCTCAGGTCTAAGAAATCATGAGAAAATTCAAACTGGAGATCAGAGTTTCCAAATTAAATACTGTGGCCTATGCTTTATCCAAACTCTGCCCTCTGTGGACCAATGCAGGCTCCACACTAGAGAATCATTATGAGCACGAGAAACTTGTGAAAGCCTGTGAGTCATGTTCAAATCTCAGAAAAAATGTCAAGCCTTTACACCAAGGGAAAATTCCAGAAATGTGACATTGTAGGAAAAATTTTCATTCAAACATTTTACTTTTTCCGTCCTCCAATACTTCATAATGAAAACAAAATGGAGAAGCCTGAAGACTGTGAGTTGTGTAGCAGTTTTCTGGAGCCTGAAGCATTCCATCCAGGGAAGCTGATTAAGACAGGAAATGAATCATTCAAAAATAGCTTCAAGAATTTACTGAAACTGACAGGATTCACTATGCTTATTACTACCATTGAAGAAACCTGTATTGGTCTTGCTGCTTAGAAGAGGCTTTGATGAATTGAGCCAATAAGGTATGATGCCCTTAACACATAGATATGCCTGCAGGTGTGTATGCTGTGGGTGGTCAGTGTTCAAATGCTCTATTTCATGCTGACTTGTAGTTTCATGATGGCAACTGTCCTTGAGTAACTTTTGCTCTTGTAAGCAACTCCAGTTGCTATTTATGTAAGTAACCCCAATAAAGCTCATTATTTCAACAAGATGGATTTCAGTGGCAAATGTTGTGATGTCTTGCTTGTACAAATAAAGTCTGCCTGGGGGAGAATAGAGCTTGCCACTAGCTAACCACAGAAGTCCGGAGGTCTGTGCGGACAGACAGGAAGTGAGGTAGCTGGGCAGAAACAAGATGTAAGCGGGGACACTAAGGAGGTAAGGAGCATTTCCCTCTATATCTGACTCTGGCTTTTTATTATCTAGACCAATTAAGAACTCCATTTACAGGCAAGTATACTTGGTTCTGTGGTCAGTTCCCATTTTGCCTGAGTGGGTGCATATGAATGTTACGTCTCCTCAGGAAAAGTGTCTCATGCCACATGGGCTGAACTCACCAATTGTTCCTCCAAGCTTGTACACCAGAAAAATCAATGTTAGAGATGAAGCATTTGAATCAACTAAGAAAGGGAAGAGTGATTATACTAACTGCTTCAGGCTTACTAGTACAGTAAGTAGTACGTGGTCCCATGGAAAGGGCTGGACACAGACAGAATGTAGAGGATTAGTGAGCCGAAGAAAGAAGAAGACTTCCTTGCATTCATGCAAGAGAGTGAGAGGTCTTCAGCGGGACAAATGAAACTATGGGTATAAGTCTTTGTTACTAACAGACATCCTCTAGACTGGGCTTTGTCTGTGCATGGCTCTGAAATCATGCTTTGACTCCGTGATTCAGTCAAACTGCCGTGACCCTCAGAACCCTGATCTCCATGGGTAAAAAACGGAATGCCACTGGGCCATCCTCATGTCCTGTTGGACCTTAGAAATTTCAATCTACAAGCCTCAACAAATGAGTTAAATTCCTTTCGTTACATCCTTTCCACACTGTTGATATGCGGACATCAGAAAACTCAATATGAAATAAAACTAAAGAAAATAATTTAATAAAGACTTGTGTTCTGCTTAATTTCATGTGTGAGTCCATCCATACAGATATCCAGAGACTATGGAGCTTGAAAGAGATGAGCTATGTGGGAGAAGAGATGCACATGCTCATATATACAGCTTAGAAATCCCCAAGGTTGTGTTGGGAGATCATTTTGAAGGACTGTAAAGGACAGGTAAGTGTTTAGTCCAATTGCAAAGTACTATATTAGAGTATTGATACTAAAAACAGCAAGACTCAAAAGTTTTAGACCATAGACAAGGTAGCATGTTACAGTGAACAGAACCATACCACTATCATGGGTTTCAGTACAAAAGGATAGTTATATAGTTTGAGAACATTGTCAGTACTGGAGTTTGTAGAAATGTGAACTAAAATGGTTAGTGCAATCGTGAGTAAATTTAGGCTCTTGTTGGCAAATAATAATTTGTATCAGTTACTTCTGTATGTGGGGCGATTAATCAGAGACAGGATACGGTGGAAGCTTAGGCTTCTAGACTGGTCCTTAGCAATCTGGTGAATGCAACCAGCTGGACAGACTCTTGGGATGCCAATTTTAAGTGTTCTGTGGATCAAGGCTTCTCTGCTTGGTGACATTAGGTGATTATTCCACCTACTTTATCACCGATACCCAGCGGTAAATTTGTAAACTTGTGCACAAGGAAGATTCCTCACTTTGTATCCCTCACACAGTATCGTTTTCTTCGTTCTGTACTCATTTTATAAGCACAGTTCTGGTGTACGCCAGCAGCAACATGTGGAGAGGCTGGGTGGAGCAGGTCCAGGGCAGCCTGACAGCTGGAGCTACACTGAAGGTAGCCTGGAGAGAGTTGGACGGATAGATACCATTGTGGCTGTGGCTGTGATCAGATCCCTGTGGCTGTGATCTGAAGAGTGATGGAGACATGAAGTTGACGGCATGTGGGCCTGGAAAGTTCAGCAGAATTTGTGCAAGTGCATGGTGAGATCTACATTATAGGAGCCGTGTTACCTGAACCATGGCATGAAGGTCTGGAAAACCCAGTTTTCCCAGAGGGACCTCTAGGGGATACATTGTTAAGAACCAAATAGAGGACACAGATGGCATCTCTGTATCTTATATGGAGAGGAAAACTCCCCTCGGCTGCAGGACACCCTGTGCAGCTTCTTGGAACTTTATCAGCAATGCTCTGGGGGAAACTGCCGCCCA